TTCTTCTCAACCTGGGAAATGCCAACTTAAAGTCTATAGGATTCAAAAAGAAGATCGTGATCTCAACGAAATAGAAGGCACCTCACCTCCAAATCTCTGACAAAAGAGTTAACAGTTCAGACTGTGACATGGCCACGACACATTGAATTCCCGGATGACTTCAGCATCGCTGCCGCCCGGGGAGAGATGCAAAAGGCAAATGTCTTTAGGTTCATCGGGGCCCAGGTCGATAAACTTCCTGAGAGCCGGAGCTGATGCTGGAGAAGGAAGTGAAATGGCAATACTGTAACAGTCACAGCAGTCACAGTACCTTTTTTGTGGCACACTTAAATTATCTTACGTTACATCGGCAAATGGATTCAAAGTATCAAGAAGGTCATCCTTTTTGGCTGAAGCCAAAGCTGAAGGCTAACAAAGTGGAAGGCAGCAGCCCCATTTCAGCTGGATTCTGCGTCGCAAATCTGAAACAAACCATTTTTCAAGCACGACTTTCCCCGGAGTCACTATAAATTAATTACTAAATACCATTATTAATCATAGCTACAATCATAGTCATTATTAATTACTATCAGTCATCATAGATTCAGGTGGGTTGATGGGTTTGTGTTATTCTCCACCAAGATCTTCATTATAGAAACCACCGTTGCTGCGTCCCCAGATGCGGAGTGTGCCAGACCCAAGTTTGTCCTTCAGCCTTACCTCAGCGGAAGAAATCATCCTGCCATCCACCCAAACAGTAGAGTATCTGCAAAAAAACATCGCGGTCTATACCGTGCTCTAAAATCCAATGTTTGCGGACTCATCTCAATTCTCTTTTCATTCTGTTGCTGCCCGAAACCGTGTGCTGATTCCTCACTTTTTGCCGATTAAATCTCACATTGTACCATATACTACCATATATTAGCCATATACACAATATATATATATATATATATTAACCATATATATATATAAACCACATATATGTATATAGTTTATATATCCGAAGTTGTTAAGAGCTCCATCTGTTCACATCCACGGCGCTTAAGGCATCCAGGTCCAACACCAATTCCCAGTTCACCTCCAAAGGAGCTTTCCTGGCTGAAGCTCATCGCTTATTAGTAGCGGAACTCATAGGGGAAATAGCAGGGGAATATTTTTTTAATGTCTTCAGGAATCACAATATTAACCTATATCATTGTAATGTCTCTATACATTTGAAAATCGATGCCTACTCAAAAGCAGCTGATTTGTCCAATGCTCACCAGGCACATGAGCATTTCAATCCATTTCAGGGGCAAATGTGGGTAAATATCCCGTACAGCGTACATAGAGCTTTTGGAAAAAACTAATCGGATCACCAACAACCATGGAATTTATTTGGGGAATACGAGACGAGACCAAATGAGTAAGAAAACTAGATTTGTCTTGCCCCAGTAGAAATGATTGTAACATATATTGCAACTCAAATACTATAAGGTCTGACCAATAGGGATGATATGAATCAAACAACACCTATTTAATTCAATGCAGGTACTGGACAGGCTGATGTGCCTTTGCTCGTAATGATTGCGGGTAAGCTTTTTGGGGAATGTGGCCACAACATTTCATGTCAACAAAATATCTTAGGCATGTTGATACTTTAGAAAACTGCCGAAAATCTCTTTGTATTGTTCTTTGGGTCTTGACACTTTGGAGAAGTGGTATGTCAAACACAATTGGATGTGTTGTTCCCTCTCTCACCCCAATTTTGCCACGCGTTTGGATTCGATATCGTCACTGATGGAAATACTATGGGATAATATTTTGACTTGCGCGCTACACACAGGGATTTATGGGATTCTTCGTGTGATTCTTCAGGATTATCTGAGGATCTGATGGGAACACATGGCTGTTCGTGAAGATTCTGGTTGTAGGAGCCCCCGAATCCACAAAATGGGCCCATCTCTTGGAATTCCATTTGAGCACCACACGCGACCACTTTCAATATTAATGCATACAGAATTTGACGATGTTGTATATATCCATATATAACCAGAGGTATTTATCACATAGAAAATTGAAATATGCAATATATATATATAATTGTATAAATAATACGTATCTTGGGACCAGTGGGAAAACTGAGCACCAGCGTCTTGTACTCTTCCAGCGTGCATCTTCTCCAGATTCCTTTCACATGATCTGCGTCTTGCCAGAAGTTGTAGTAGAAATCGCCCACCTGGGCAGGCCAGTATAGCCCAGTCAAATCACAAAACTCACCCACATCTATCCATTAAAACGGGGCATCTGGACATGGCTAACCACCTGGAGGCATCTTCCTGGCAGAGTGTAGACCAAAAACCCACTTCCTACGCAGGAATCCTAAACAACAATTACGCACACACACACAGATATATATATATATATATGCACATTATATATATATATATTAAAGAAATAACATGAACACACACATACAATGTTATCTTTCCTCCAATAGTCACCAAATGTCACCAACCTCACTTAAACTCCAATTTCAATACACCCCGAAAACGCGGAACCTGTATGGACATTTGTTCTGTTCCTTTCTGCCAGGGTGAACGCCTCAAGTGGGCCATGGGGGCTGTCAAACTCCCTTTGGAGTAGCGCCAAGCAACCTTCCTTACATAGGCAATCTTATCCTGCATGGATCGCTAATGCGGGATTGACCATTGACCCAAAGCCATTAGCACAACTACCATTTGGTGATGGTCGAAATCCCATTCATTTTTGGTCACATTGGGGATGGTTTATTATTGGAACCAAACCGACCAACCAACTAGTGGCAAAAAGGACACTTGTACTAAACTTATACCATATACATCATTATACATCCATATATCACTTATTGATCCCCAACCCCGAAAAGCCGCTCGCTCTTTCAGGCAGCGATTTCGATTTGGACCTTCACCAACTTCCGTTTCCCCGCATGTGGACACATGTGGACACTGTCCTTGCTCTCCAAAATCTCTAAGATTTTGGTGTACCTTGGATGAGTCATCATCGCCCATGTCTACGCCGATCGATCAACCCCGGCTGATACATTTTGACAAATTAGGGGGTTACACGGTTGCCCCCTCAATAGTGATAATCTGCTAGTAAAATGACATCCCCCAATTCACAGCCCTGAGGTTCATTGACCCGGGGTTGGCATTACTTGTCTTACTTCAACTCTTTGCGAAAACACTGGCTCTTGATCTCTCTTTACAACTGCATGTCAAAACCGATAAGCCCGTGCCAATGATCCACTGGCTGAATTCTCCAACCCAACTGATTGAGCCCATTCCATCGGCATGTCAGTGCAGCTGTTGCCAGTTTTTGCCTCTATTTGCTAGTATTTGCCAGTATCTCAGGGTTTAGACACGTGTGAGATGATTGTGATTTTCTTGGAGGGCTACGAGAACAACCATAGGAAACTGATTGAGTCAATTTGGAGTCTGGAGCATTGCATATTTTCAAACAGGAAACCACAGTGTCATGTCGTCTTTAGATGGATTGGCTTTGGTCAAACTAGTTGTCACTCCGCTGCGACTAGAACGCCTTGGATCCATCATGAATCATGATCCATGCCATGCCATACACTTACGCGGACGAGCTGCATTTTGGTCCCTTCGGGGTGCCCAAATTTCTTCAAGGTCACCTCAACACCGCCATGTGCTTCGAACCCGCTGATATACAGTACGCATGATTTCACTAATCCAACTACATGTAGTATAATGTAGTATATATATATTATATATATACACATAATATATGTATATATATATAATTATATATGTATATGTCAAATGTGTATATATATATATTATAATATTCTAAATATAAATTAAATATCATATGATGATATGCAAATATGGTATTTTTTGAGCCGCTTCAAAACTTCACCGCGAAGCAAATCGTTTAAATTGCCACACTGGCCATCACGGCATCTACTGAATATCATGAACTGCCAAGTACTCCAGGCAAAGGCATCAAATGGAGTACCAGTCACATCGTTCTTCTCCTCGGGGCCATGGTGGGCATACCTGGACCTGGACCTTATCACTGCACCATCCTGGAGGCTTGGTAACTTTAACATACCTGAACATTTTCAGTGGACCTCAAAGTTGATTAGTTATGTTTTGGGCACAAGAGATGCATAATTAATAGGTGCAAACATTGACGTGTACTGAATCTACTGGAAATGAGCAATCTGGACACACAGAAAACCAAAACACTGTCAAGGATTAAGGGTTAGAGTACCTGCAAATTTCTAAAAATCCCGCAAAGGCTGTCAAAATGACGCAAATTTGGAAAAGGCGTAGATTTGATTTTCCAATCACTTCCGGGAGCAGGCCATGAAACGCCGAAACCGACTGAATCTCCAAAAAGAAAGGGAATTCACTGTATCTTTCAGGATTTGGCAGGTACAGGTATACAGTACAGAATAAAATTGATGTAGAATTGTTGTTATACTTGTTATGTGGATTTGAAATTTATATTGATATTCTTATTAATATATAGTTATATAATGTTATATACAGTTCACATTAATAATCAACACCCACAATCCAAAAACGTTCTGGGAACTGATGTTTCTGACCTGAGGGTTCTGGTGCTGGCTGATGCAAATGCACACTCATCTCACAGAATCCCCAAAAATCTAGGAAACATCCCATATTTTCTAATTTATATATATGTTTATTACTTTCTTATTAAAAAATGGCATTTTGTGAAGCTCATAAAAGGGGACCCCTTTAGGTGGGTTGCTCCCACCCAAATAATGTGCATCTGCGCCCCCAATTAAAGAACACCCTCAGCCCCCTAGCCTCATACGGCTGATTCTTTCTACTTTGCTTCATTCTGCTGATGGCTTCTAGGTTTTGAACCCGTTTGACCTTAAACATTTCTCATACTAAATCTCATGAATCCCTTTTTCCCGAATGCGTAGCAAGGGTTCCCGTTTCACTCTGGGGGTCTGGGGGTTGAGGGTGTGTTCGCTCGACGTTGCGTTCACGGTCGCAACCGTTCGCAACCGTCCGCGCGATCCCCGTATGGCCGTGCCTATGGGAAGTTCTGCAGAGGTGGTCATTTTTGGAGGTTTCAAACGTGTCGTTGCTTCGTTTCGCGTGGCAGGCGTGGCACTTCGTGACATTCAGACGTGTTGTGCAACGTGTTGAAAATCGTTTTGCGTGGCAGGCGCAATACTTTGGTGACGTTTTCAGAAGATGTGTTGCAGTTTTCGTGGCAGGCGCAGCACTTTGGACGTGTCCATCGTCATTTTTCGTGGCAGGCGCAGCACTTTAGACGTGTCCTGTTGCGTTTTTTTTGTAAATCGCATTGGCAGGGCTGCGTCAAGTGGTGACAAGGTGCAAATTCCGTGGCAGGCGTGGCATTTTGTGACATGTGCTGAAAATTGACGGAAGCCTCGCACGAAACATCGATTTTGAAGTTGCAAATTTTCAGGTTCTAAGGAAAACTCGTAGGAAAACGTCGATTTTGAAGCTGCAAAGTGCCAAAATAGGAGGAAGTCTCGTACGAAATGTTCGTTTTGGTGCTCAAGACGTGTCTCGTCTCGCGTCTCTGGTTTTCCCGTGGCTTCGCCGTGTCTATGGGGGAAGCTGCAAAACTTGTCCTTTTGTTATGTTGCCAATTGTGAAAATCGCCGGAAGTCTCGCACGAAATGATCGTTTTGGTGCTCCCACGTGTCTCGTCTCGAGTCTCTGGTTTTCCTGCGGTATCGCCGTGTCTATGGGGGAAGCTGGAAAACCTCTCCTATTCGAATGTGTCCAAGGTTGTCATGTCGTTTTGCGTGGCAGGCGTGGCACTTTGTGACATTCCAACCTGTTTGATAATGTGTCTAAAATGTCAAATTTGGAGGAAGTCTCGTACGAAATGTTGGTTTTTCTGCATCCACGTGTCTTGTCTCGAGTCGCTGGTTTTTCTGTGGCGTCGCCGTGTCTATGGGGGAAGCTGGAAAGCATGTCCTATTCGAATGTGTCCAAGCAGGTTGCCATGTCGTTTTGCGTGGCAGGCGTGGCACTTTGTGACATTCCAACCTGTTTGATAACATGTCGAAAATATCAAAATTGGAGGATGTATCGCACGAAATGCTCGTTTTTTTGCACCCACGTGTCTCGTCTCGAGTCTCTGGTTTTCCTGTGGCGTCGCTGTGTCTTTGGGGGAAGCTCCTCACTCCACACTCTACACTTTACACTCCACAATTTACACTTTAGACTCCACACTCTACACTTTACACTTTGCACTTTACACTCCTCACTCCTCACCTGAGACTTTACACTCCACACTCCACACTTTACACTACACTCTACACTCTCCACTCCTCACTCTACACTTTACACTCTACACTTTACACTCCACACTCCACACTTTACACTACACACTCCTTACTTTACACTCCACACTTCACACTCCACACTTTCCACTCCACACTCCACACTCCACACTCCACACTTTACACTCCACACTTTACACTCCTCACTCCACACTCCACACTCCACACTCCACACTTTACACTCCACACTCCACACTTTACACGCCTCACTCCACACTTTACACTCCACACTTTCCACTCCACACTTTCCACTCCACACTCCACACTCTACACTTTACACTCCGCACTCCACACTCTACACTCCACACTTTCCACTCCACATTTCACACTCCACACTCTACACTTTACACTCTACACTCCCCACTTTACACTTTGCACTCCTCACTCCACACTCTACACTCCACACTCCCCACTTTACACTCCACACTCCACACTCTACACTTTCCACTCCACACTCCGCACTCCACACTCCACACTTTACTGTACACTCCACACTCCACACTTTATACTTTACACTCCTCACTCTACACTTTCCACTCCAGACTGCACAGTCTACACTTTACGCTCCACACTCCACACTTTACACTCCACACTTTACACTCCACACTCCACACTTTACACTCCTCACTTTACATTCCACACTCCTCACTCCACACGTTATACTCCTCACTTTACACTCCACACTCCACACTTTGCACTCAACACTCCGCACTCCACACTTTACACTCCTCACTCCCTTTTTACACTCCACACTTTACACTCTACACTCCCCACTCCACACTTTACACTCCACACTCTATACTTTACACTCTACACTATACAGTCTACACCCCACACTTTACACTTTACACTCCACGATTTCCACTTTACACTCCTCACTCCACACTTTACACTCCACACTCTGCACTTTACACTCCTCACTTTACACTCCACACTCCACACTCTACACACCACACTCTACACTTTCCACTCCAGACTCCACACTCTACACTTTACGCTCCACACTCCACACTTTACACTCCACACTTTACACTCCTCACTCTACACTCCACACGTTACACTCCACACTCCACACTTTACACTCCTCACTCCACACACTACACTTTACACTCCACACTCCTTACTTTACACTCCACACTTCACACTCCACACTTTCCACTCCACACTCCACACTCCACACTTTACACTCCACACTCCCTACTCTACACTCCTCACTCCACACTTTACACTCCACACTTTACACTCCACACTCCACACTCTACGCTTTACACTCCACACTTTACACTCCACACTCCACACTTTACACTATACACTCTACACTCCACACTTTACACTTTACACTCCACGCTTTCCACTTTACACTCCTCACTCCACACTTTACACTCCACACTTCACACTCTACACTTTACGGTCCACACTCTACACTCCACACTTTACACTCCACACTCTACACACCACACTCTACACTTTCCACTCCACACTCCACACGCTCCACACGCTCCACTCTACACTCCACACTCTACACTTTACACTTTACACTCTTCACTTCACACTCTACAATTTACAAACTCCACACTCCTCACTCCACACTTTACACTCCTCACTTTACACTCCACACTCCTCACTCCACACTTTACACTCCTCACTTTACACTCCACACTATACACTCTGCACTTTACACTCCTCACTCCACACTCTACACTCTACACTCCACACTCTACACTCCACACTCTACGCTTTACACTGCATACTCCACACTCTACACTTTACACTCCGCATTCTACACTTTACACACTCTACACTCCCCACTCCACACTTTACACTCCACACTCCTTACTTCACACTCCACACTCCACACTTTCCACTCCACACTGCAGACTGGTAACAACGGAAACATGTACAAGACTGTTCAAATAAACTATTGCAGAAAGGTATTGTGCGTGACTGCATAACCATGTGTTTTGACATCTGTACCATTAACATACGTGTGAGCATTCGGGTTCGTGGGCTTCATCTTGTTTTGTTGTTGCTCATTATTTGGGGGTGAACAATGGTGAACACCTTTTCATGGATCTAGACCTTCTGCGGGGTATTATTATAATATTAGTGTTTTTGGGTGAATCGTCCCGATTAACAACAAACTGTTCGAGTTCAACAAGAATTAAACCGTCCATGCAAAGGGTCACTTTCCTGGGGCTAGGGTTCAGCCTGGCAAAACTAGTCCAATCTTCCGCAAAGGCTTGATGAACACTCAAGAGAAATGATCCCACTATGGGCTGGAACAATCCCCATGAGTAGGTTGTATGGCTCTGTACTAAGCAATCAACAGGCTTATATATGTTCAATGGCTCAACCGGTCCCTGTGATATTCACTCAGGACTCCCAGTCTGGACTTTTCTCTGCCATCCTTTGGTTGTAGGCATTTTTCCCAGGATTTCATCCCTGCGCTTAACCTCCCAACTGTCCCAACTTGCCAGTGGCTCCTTGGCCCAGTGGAGGCACTTCTCACCAGAAACCTCTTCCAGCCACAAGTGCGGATCCTCCTTGGCCATCGACCCCACCTTGGCCGGAAGTCCCAAAGGATGCTAGGGATGCTAAGGGACATCCAACTGGAAGGACACATTCACGTAACATTGTGAAACTGGATTTGGTTGAGGATGGTTGACTATGGTTATGATTCTGGGAGTTTTGAATTTACACAATGTCAAGGATTGTTGATGTAACTTGGACAAGAAACTGCAAGGTGAGAATGTTTTGATAGCCGCTGTTTGAGTCACAGAATTGCCTGAGAATGCATCAGGGGCACAAGAACCTCCAAAACATACCTGACAGGAAATAACGTGCGAACGCATGTGAAAGGCATTGATTGCGTTGCCCAACAAACACACCAATTCATCGGAATCTGAACCCTTGCCAAATCCAGGTCAATTGCCATCATCTATGTGTGCAAATCAAAAATACATACGTAGACATGTGAGAGGGATATTTAAATGCATACACAATTACAATACAAACACTTACGTACTGTATTTACACATGCCATGATAGATCTGCCTACCTATCTACCTATCTACCTATCTACCTATTTATCTGCCTATCTATCTATCTATCTATCTATCTTATATTATCTAATCTAATCTAATCTATCTATCTGACTATCCATCGTTTTATTTATCTACCTACCTACCTACCTACCTATCTATAAGTATCTGTCTGTCTATCTACCTACCAACCTATCTATCCTATCATATCCTATCCTAATTTACCTACAGTACAGTGCCTACCAAGCTTTCTATCCAGTCCAGGCCACTGCAAAGCTGCGTTTGGCACGGCCAATGACAGCCGCAAAGGCGGCGGCAGCGAATGGCCGGGGCCAGGTTAGAGCCTCTCTCAGGTTTTGGAAAACCCGACATGAAAACATCAGGACACTTGCCCCCGAGTCATATAGAACTCCCCACCTGACCAACTGATCCAAATGGGAATGCAGGATTGCTACAATACCCTGGTTTCATGGCAGTTTTCGGGCAAATCATCGCATCCGCATTCCCATGGTTGCTTGATTTGTGAAATTGGCGTGTCAGTCCAAGCATGTTAAAATGTGATTCTGAAATGACTTGAACCATAATCATAAGCATATACAAACAAAAACCGTAAAATTGATGTTCTGAGTTCTCAGCCCTGAGGTATAGTGTGGTGGCAACATAAAAAGAGCTGGGGTTCTTCACCATCTCATTATGATTGGTGAAGGCAAACGCCTAGATCAGACCTAAGCCCTTAGCAACACTTTACTTTCCAGCATCACCCTTGGATTTTGGAGCAGCACCATTCATTTTCAACACACCATTCAGAGATCTGTCCAGCACGTCCAGCCAGTGCTATCCAATTTCTTCAAGGTACTTCCAACTAAGTGCCGGCCTCGAGGGTACGCATTTGTGATGGGTCAAAATGACCAACTTCCATGGATAGAACAAATGTTTTTTTCAACTCAAACCGCTTGAGTATCAACCCCCATCTACGTCAATTTGCTATTGATTTATTGATTATATTATCATACTCATCATCATACTCTCTCTATTCTCATAATCATAGTTTACTAAGCCATGATCATACTCTCTCTCTTATTATCATACTTTACTGATAGCTGAGTCTCTCTTATTATCATACTTTACTGATAATTAGCTGAAAACCATACTATGTTATTACTATGTTCCCAAATTCTTTGCAAGCAAGTGGCTGGTCCAGTGCTTCTCAGCCGCGACCGGAGAGAGTTGGTGGCCGGAATGCAAATTGCGGGGCGCTGAGCCGCACTTACGTGAAGCAGCATGAAACCCACGCGCACCCGGGGTCCGTCTAACTGAAGCCGTTGAAGCAGCCGATGAACGGGTGAACGGGATGTGACTCGTGCGATGAGAGTGGAACTTCAAGTGAATGCAGGATGCAAGAAAAAACGCTTGTGCAAATACATTGAATTACATTGACATGTTCATCATTGTTTGCCTATGATTGTATATTTGATCGTTGCAATAGAACTACAGTACGATCAGAACATGTCAGAGCAACGAGGATCTTGACATTTAGTTGGTTTATGATAAATCATAAGTCAATCATCCTATTGCAAATAGATTCTCTAAAGACATTAGCCGGAGGCATCCGAAGGCCCACCTTGCGGGCTTTTAGAATTACCAGTATTCAAAGTTAGTAAAGCAATAGGATCCATCATCCCTAATTTTACCGTCAATGGGTGGTATAAATAAACATTGGTGGTCTTGTTATTGCTTTACATATCTTTGCTAACATTAAGCAGGCGGGCGTATTCAATATTGTTGCCCGTCGGCGGTGTACCCAAATAAAGAAAGGCTCCCAATGCCTTGTACAGAATTTATCCGACACCCATTGACACCCATTGACCCAATAGGACAAATCAAATTAATACTATCGATATATATATAAAATTATTTATATATATATAAAATTATTTATATATATATAATATCAAATACAATACCAATTGGACTTCACCAAACCTCAACGATTCAGCTTTTTCATGGCGCGGCGGGGACCCGGTCTTTCAATCCGTTTGCCGCAGTCACGGTTGTACCTACCTACGGTAGACATAGCGAACGCACGCTGCTGCTGCTGCTGCTGATGCTGATGCTGATGCCATGGATAGATGCCCCATGAAAAGCTATTTAGTCACGCTGTCGTGCAACAGCAGGAGCGGATGCATCGTGTATGCAAATAAGAGAACATGTTATAAATCACTTTGTTGTACATCTCGCTATAGTGTCTTGGATTGGTATTGCATGAGTGGTTTCTGCCAGCTTTCCTTGACCCTACCCCTCTACAGGAGTTCAGCTGCAAACAGCATGCAGGACGCGGTTTCCGCCGTCGTTTGTCGCTCGGCTTTGGAACACAACTCGTGGCCCGCTGACGGCATCGCTGATGGCATCCTCTCAGAGGATGGCCTCCTTGGGCTAGTGTGGCTGCAACCACTCCAGATCTATCTGGAATTAATTGGCAGAGATGGGAACTCACGTGCTTTGATTCATCGCCTATGACATACTATGACATTGCACATCTTGTAAAACTGTAAACTGTAAAACAACATTGTCCCTGTAACTTGTATCTACCCCTTACATCGGAAATCAACAACTACATAGTTCTAGTCGCATATGTTTTTGCTCTTCCTGCACTCATGGCTGAACAAAACATCCAGTGCGGTTAACTTAGCCGCGTTCAAGACCTTGCAGCTCCCATCTGATTTTGTCAATATCAGGGTGTATTTGAATGCATTTGACACCTATCTCAGTTGCAAGGGGTTACAACGCACATAATTAGGCATGGAAAATCCACCATTCATTAGTGGATCATTTCATCATTTCCTATGGAAACCCCTGGGTTTCCATAGTTTTTGATATGAGATCCCGTCAAAATCTTTTACATCTGAGTAGTTGCTATTGTTGTGGTTATCGCTTTTGGGGGGGCCCAATTGCTTTCCAGGGCTTTATGTGGAAATCAGCATACTCGAGATCCAACATGAAGCCAAAATCCATTCCTAAACAGGCTCGGAAATGGATCGAGCAGTTGTTTTGTTGGTTTTCAGGTGCTTCGGCAACACTTCATGTTCCTTTTGTGTTGCATTTATTTGCATGCATTTTCCTTCATT